TCAGTCCATCACTCACAAGAGGAAAGTGAGACTCAGAGAGAAGACGCTCTGTTTTGCCTGTTGCTATGGCAAACACCATGGCCAAAAGCAAGTTGGGGGAGGGATGGGTTTATTTCAGCTTACAGATCCTGGATCATGGTCCATCACTGAGGGAAATCAGGGCAGGGACCTGGAGGTAGGAACCATGTAGGAATGCCATTTCCTGGCTTGTTCCCTGGCTCATATATGCCTTGCTACCTTTCTAATGCATACTGGAGTGTCCTTCTTAGGAAATGGCACTGTCCACGGTGAACTGGACCCTCCTATATCAACTAAGGCAATCCCTCACAGACATGTTTATGGTCTAACTTGACAAAGGCAATTTTTCTGCTGAGACTCTTTTCTTTCCAGGTAATCGTAAGCTATTTAAGTTGACAGTTTGTAACAGGCCCCCAGACCTTAGCACTACTGCCACCATGATGGGAGTACCATTTGGGCCTTGGAACCCAGGACATAAGCAACATCTGTCAAAACTAGAATGAAGACCTAACCCATCAAAGTGCATAGTTTTGGGAAAGGCCCTAAATGTACTACCTTGCTTTTTGGCCTCTGTAGTTCCACTTCTGGCTAGCTGTTCCTTCTACCTGGAGAAAATGAACATAAGATGTGGGTTTTGTGCTCAAATGCTCACCCTGAGAAAGGCTCAGGAGTGCACTTGGGTCCTGAACACACAGTGTAGTCTCTGGCCAGCTAATAAAGACTTTCTAGTGGCTCTTAAGCCTTATCTGAGCAGTCTTTGGTGGATACCTCACAATGACTTAATGCTAACTGAGACAAGAGCCCTTCTCTTTAGATGTAAAATAGGATTCCCTGACACCTGGGCCACAGACCAGTTCTTTCTACCATACCACAATAGCTTGCCCTGCTGGCCACCCCCCCCCCAAAAAAAAAAATATCTCCATGTCTACCCCAGGGCAGGACAAGCTAACACACACTAGCTGAAGAGTTGTCCCTGTTGAACCAGTTTGGGGCTGTTTCCTCAAAGTGCATGGCATAGGAATCCTCTGGAGGAAAGCCATTATCATTCCACCAGTAAAACAAACCACTTCCAAAGCATGCCACTTAAGACTCCTTCTGTTCCTCGATGTCACTTCTAGTCAGAACCTGTGCCTCAACCCACCTTTCTGCTCAAAGCCCCTGTTCAGAGCATGCAGGAAGGGAAAAGTGTAGCCACATCCATTCCTATGTGCAACAACTGTATACCAACTGTGTGTCCCCGGTGCTAGCCATGAGGGTATGACCAGCAGTGGAGATAAATGGGCAAATGCTAAACTGCAGAGGTAGCCATTAATACGTAACTTTAGGATCACACCGTAGACAGCAGTCCGAGGAGCAGCATAAGGGCAGGGAAGGTAGGAAGGGACCTCTCAGGATCAGGACAAGCAGAATGAGCTCACCTCTGTGTTGCAGTAGCCAGTCTGCTATGTAGTATTTCCCAGGAAAGCGTTAGCCCAGTGTACAAGCAGAATTAACAGATTCAGCCATATCCAAAGACAAAACAAAGACAAGAACCATTCAGCAAGAGAGGGAGATCTGACTGTACTGGCCAAATCATCCAGGTCATGGGCTTTGTGACCTGGAGGGGAAGGTAGGTAGGGCTGGGCACTGGGCTTTCTGCCTGGACATTCCCACATCTCCAACTTATCCTGTCCCCATAGTTTGTTTTGTACAGGTGGATGGGGTTTAAGAGGGATCTAAGTCAAGACCTGTTTCCCAGGCTGGCCTCAAACTCCCTTGTAACTGAGGATGACCTTGAACTCCTAATCTTCCTGCCTCCATCTCCTAAGCACTAGGGTGACAGGTATGTGCCATACCTGACGCCCTTCCTGTTCTGAAATTTCAGGGTCTGGTTAGGGGAAAGGGAAATACCTCTCTTCTCTGAAGTTTCCAGGATCTTTCAAGACAGCAGACAGTAAACACATTAACCGATGAAAAGATATTTAAATTTATTAGGTGCCTGCTGTAGAATCTCACACATTCCTGCTGAGAAGAGCTAGAAGGGCAAGAAATAAGTGGCTGAGGCTTGGATGGAGGGGATGCAATGGGCTGAGGAGGGGGAGGGGAGGGTGCAGGCTGGACAGTGGCCTCAATGCAGGAACACAGATAAAGTTTCTCTCCGCATGGCATAGGAATCCTCTGGAGGAAAGCCATTATCATTCCACCAGTAAGACAAACCACTTCCAAAGCATGCCACTTAAGACTTCCTCTGTTCCTCGATGTCACTTCTAGTCAGAACCTGTGCCTCAACCCACCTCTCTGCTCAAAGCCCCTGTTCAGAGCATGCAGGGAGGGAAAAGTGTGGCCACATCCATTCCTATGTGCAACAACTGTTTACCAACTGTGTGTCCCCGGTGCTAGCCATGAGGGTACAACCAGCAGTGGAGATAAATGGGCAAATGCTAAACTGCAGAGGTAGCCATTAACACTTAGCTTTAGGATCACACAGTGGACAGCAGTCTGAGGAGCAGCATAAGGGCAGGGAAGGTAGGAAGGAACCTCTCAGGGATCAGGACAAGCAGAATGAGCACACCTCTGTGTTGCAGTAGCCAGTCTGCTATGTAGTATTTCCCAGGAAAGCGTTAGCCCAGTGTACAAGCAGAATTAACAGATTCAGCCATATCCAAAGACAAAACAAAGACAAGAACCATTCAGCAAGAGAGGGAGATCTGACTGTACTGGCCAAATCATCCAGGTCATGGGCTTTGTGACCTGGAGGGGAAGGTAGGTAGGGCTGGGCACTGGGCTTTCTGCCTGGACATTCCCACATCTCCAACTTATCCTGTCCCCATAGTTTGTTTTGTACAGGTGGATGGGGTTTAAGAGGGATCTAAGTCAAGACCTGTTTCCCAGGCTGGCCTCAAACTCCCTTGTAACTGAGGATGACCTTGAACTCCTAATCTTCCTGCCTCCATCTCCTAAGCACTAGGGTGACAGGGATGTGCCATACCTGACGCCATTCCTGTTCTGAAATTTCAGGGTCTGGTTAGGGGAAAGGGAAATACCTCTCTTCTCTGAAGTTTCCAGGATCTTTCAAGACAGCAGACAATAAACACATTAACAGATGAAAAGATATTTAAATTTATTAGGAGCCTGCTGTAGAATCTCACACATTCCTGCGGAGAAGAGCTAGAAGGGCAAGAAATAAGTGGCTGAGGCTTTGATGGAAGGGATGCAATGGGCTGAGGAGGGGAGGAGGGTGCAGGCTGGACAGTGGCCTCAATGCAGGAAAACAGATAAAGTTTCTCTCGGGTAGTAAAAGTTGTAGGCAATGGCTTGTGACAGCCTGTGGTGTTGGCCTTCAGTGAGTGTCCTGTGACATTAATCTCCCCTGCTTGATGAGATGAGGGCACAATTTACAGTGGCCATAAGGCCTGATTAAGAATCTGTCTTTAGACAATGGAACTTGAAGAACGCCTGAGGAGCAAGGTGTAAGGCAAGAGAGGTACAAAGCTGTGCTCTGGAGTGTCTGTTTCCTAAGCCCCAGACAAAGCTGGGGCTGCTGATATTAAGAGATAATCAGGCTACCCCAAAGATTATCTCAAGAGATTTGGACACATGGGGGAAGAGGCATCAAGATTAACAGGAAAAGCCAGTTGGCAGAGACTGGAAACCTCCCTACCAAGGCTACAGGGAAGGAACAGAGTAGCACCACGTAGCGATGGCAAATGTGGGAAAGGTAGGTTCTACGCAAATGACCTATAGATGGCCCTGATGCTGCAGTGCCTGACACACCGGAGACTCTGAGCTGTCCCCTACTTCCACTCTCAGAAGGACTTTTCTTTTACTTAATAACTCTCCCTGTCTATCGCTACCCATGTGTCCTTGACCTAACTCCTCATTCAGGGACGTAAGTCTAGAATCTTATCATGTGCCCTCTAGACTCAAATCCATGCCCATAACAGAGGCAGATCCTCTTCTATACCACAAAAAAAAAGACAAAACATTCATTTTGTTCCCATTCTACTGTTGCCTGGGCATGTCTGGTCTGACCTGGACTTGGCAGAACTATCTCATGCATTTGTGTTCAGTGGAAGGCCAACTCCATGGCCTTGCTGACCATGGCTGCATGGATGGGGCCTCACCAGGGACAATTGGGTTATGCCGTGTACATCAGCCTCCAACAGGGAAGCCAGACACCATCAGTGCTAGGTGCAGAGCTCTCAGTCTCCTATGTCTCAGGTTGGAACTGATCACTCCCACTTCCTGTTGGCAAAGGAAGTCACAGGGCAGCCCAGTTTTGAGGACTTGGGAGAACAACTCCAACCCTCTGAAGATGTAGACACACATTGGCCTGAGGACTAAGGCCAGTTTTACATTCAACCTGCCATGCTGATCTATCCCAGGGTTAGCTGAGGCCTGTCCCCAGGATGTCTTGAGCCTTTAGGTCCTACCCAATCATGTGGCTTTCCCAGTTGCCTCATAAGATATTCTGTGAGATCCTGGACCCTGAAACACACAGACTCATTTTCCAAGTACTTGAAGGGCACCGTGTATACAAACACACACACATACTAACATATGTTCACATGAATGTTCATGCTTAGACCCTCCCTCTGCCTGCCATAGGAAATCTGTAAGCCTCCTTGCCTAACTGTGGTCAAACCTGGGAGGACAGAACACAGGCAGCCTAGTCTTCTCAGAGCATCTCAGTGGGGTGAAGGGGAAGGTGAAAGCCTTATGGATCCTCATCTCAGCTCTGACATAGTAGTGGGTGCCAAGCAACTCAGTTTCCTCTCTGGGCCTTGATGTTCCCTCCCAGAGACTGAAGCAAAGCAATGGGATGCTCTTGGGCCCTTTGGAGGCCAGTGACCACACAAGCGGCTGCCTCTGGCCCCCACCTCTGGGAGACAGGCGGAGACCTCCGAGCTGGCAAGGACTGAGAACCTACCAGAGGTGCAGCTCCCAAGCAGTAATTTCCAAGCCCCACAGGAATAGCAAGGTTTTCACAGGATAATGTGTGAATGTGGGAGCGCAGAAGCAGAGGGGAGCCAGCAGCCCGCACAGCAGCCGTGGCAAGCCGGTGAGTACCCCCATTGTCCTTCTAAAAAGACCACCCAGGGAAGAGGTGGGTGGGGGCTGTAGGGCCCCCCCCCAGGGATGGAGAGAGAAAGAGATCATTGACAGAAACCTACCTGGCACTAAGATTGGGAAGGAAGGAAGATCCCAGGGCTACTCAGGGAAATGAGAGACCCACTGCACAGTGAAGGGGGGAAAAGGAGAGATATCTGTCTTCTCTCCTCAAAGACAGGGCCAGAGATTACTCAGGTACCTGCCAGGGACCCCAGGGAGACAATCGCCCTCCTGAGGGAGACTCCCTTACTCCAGAAGCCAACTCATATTAGAAGTCCAGCCTAGGCAGGTATTTCCAAACCATGTACAGGTGTTCTCTGAGGGGAGGAGAAGGGCATGGCAAGGGTCACTGCAAAAAAAACTCTTCTGGGCAAATACTGTGTCATTTGCAGATGGGACACATTAGTCAGGGAAAGGCAGAGCATCCCTGCTGCCCAGTCTCAGCGGAGGAGCGCACAGGTATAGCAGAAAGCCATGGGGTATGTGAAGGCCAACCTGAGAAAATTACTGAGAACACTGCACTCCATATCCCCCCCCCCCCCGTGGCATGTTTGCATCTGGTGTTTTGGTGTCATCTCTTCTGGGACCCTGGGACAGGCCTGGGTGTCCTGGAAAACCTGAGATTGGATACAAGATTCCTGGTGCCACAGGGCCAGTCTTGGATAGATGCAAGTTTTTGCCTGGCCTGAGAAATGGCTGCAGACACAGGATGTATATATACAGGAAAACTTAGAAGCCTGAAACACCTCACCTCACTACTACACGTCCACTTCTGTGATATGTGGGGAAACAGAGGCCCAGAGAGATCAGGCTATTTCCTCAAATTCACTCAGTTACTTCATCTTTTGTTTTGTTTGTTTTGTTTTGTTTTTGAAGACGGGTTTTATCCTTAGCTTTGGAGCCTGTCCTGGAACTCGTGCTGTAGACCAGGCTGGCCTCATAATGTGCATTCTTAGCAGGCTGAGCACAGGATCTGTGTCTTAACTGCTGTGACAAAGCTGCCAAACCCCAGATATATTACCATACATTTCATTCCAGAACCCCCACTCCTTAGAGTCACTCCTTCCAGCTGCCAACACCTCTCAAAATGTAGCTTCAACAGGGAAGTAAGCAAAACTGCTCAGGACCTGGATGAAAGTCACTCTCAAGACAAGGGCTGGCTGCTGGAGAGTGCTCCAGCCAGCACACTGGGGCAGCCCACCACTACGGTCCCCCTGCCACTGGGGCTGTTAACAGCTGAAGCCCAGGAGTGAAGGTCTCCTCCCCAGCAGGCATGAGGCCGGACATTGCTAGGTGGTCCTTATTCTCTTCTGGAGTGTTGGTGGCTCTGTTTTGTTTTGTGGTTCCAATCAAGCCCAAGGTAGAGTGTGCTCTGTGAATGCTAACTCTTTAGAATTTGGATATTGATTCTTTTTTATAGGGTGTGAATCAAATGTTTGTGTTCTATGATGCAAATGGGTATCTATCTCTAAGTAAAACTGTTTACATTAAGTTTTAAAGATTCATGGCGATTATAGCAGGGTGACACTTAGGCAGTCCTGTGGCTTTTCCAGTCACTCTCAGGCCAAACCGCAGCAATTTAGCAATTAGCCCTCCTGGTCTTGTGTTGTGTCATGTCACAACCTGGGGCTGCTCCTCAGCCCAAGTCAAGCAGGTAAGGAGGATGATGGATGGCTGTCACCTTTTACCAAATTTAGCAATTAGCCCTCCTGGTCTTGTGTTGTGTCATGTCACAACCTGAGGCTGCTCCTCAGCCCAGGTCAAGCAAGTAAGGAGGATGATGGATGGCTGTCACCTTTTACCGTGCCTTTTCTTGCTCTCCGCCATCCTCCCACACACAGTAACAGACTAACAGTGACATCTCCAAGGCTGGGCAGTGCTAAATGAGGACAAAGGCCAGGGGCCATTGCACCTGTTAGGTGCTTTGTGAGTTGCTGCCGCCCTCCCTGAGGTAGGCACTTCTCTAAAAGGGTGTCTCTACAGAGACACACCCCATTGAAAGGATCTCTCTCCTGTGTACCCCTCTGCAAAAGAGCCCTCACCCAACCTAGGAATCCGCAGGTCCAGTGGAAAGAGCCTACATGTGGCTTTCTCCCAGCCATTTCCTCAAGGAAGCCTCTCCCCCACAGCAAAAGACAGCCAAAGACATGTGCCCTCCTTCCTGTGGGTGTCAAGTCTACTTTCAACCCCACTTGCAACCCTGGGAAAAGAGTATAAAAACCAGCCAACAGCTTCTCAGCCACCTGCCTTTTGCAAGTCCCCTGGCACCCTTGGTGACATCACTCACTTCAGAGTCTGCTCTCCAACCAACACATCAGCCCTCAAGGCCCTTGACCTGCCCTACTTGCTTCTGCAAAATGGCTGCAAAATATCTTCTTCCCAGGGCTGCCCTGGGGTCTGTAGGAGAGCTCCTTATAAACTGTTAAGGGCTTTGCATGAAGGGCTGTTACTACCGCATCTCTTTCAGCATAACTGACACAGTTGCCCTGAGTTTCCAGGCAGCTGTTCGCTTAAGGCAGGGTGCAGTGGTTTTCCTTCCTATGCGTGCGTGAGTGGTGGATATGCTGGCTGATTGTGAGTAAGAAATGGGAGTGGGAGCACTGAGGTGGAGTCACCTGGAATACCACAGGTGGATTCGTCACTGGCTTCACAGGAGCTGGGGGGAGGGGAGTGTGAGAATCTCGGGATCTGTGTCACCCATTCCTGCTTGGGTTTGCCACTTACCCTGCAGAGGGTGCAAAGCCTATTTCTGTAGGTGTTTCCTTCTCCTGAGGATCACGGGGCTCTGTGTTTGATCTTATTTCTCACCACCCACCGGGGAGAGATGTTGTTAATGACGCAAGTGCTCCATGCTGGGTGGCTTGAACCCTGTGGGAGCTGAGAGTTCTTCTGACCCCAGAAAATGTCCCCAGTACACATGTGACTCATCTTGGGCCCCAGACATGATCTTCACCTGTCCCTGGTGAAACGACAACTATGAAAGCTAGTATGGTCTTTTAGCCTAAAATTCTGCCTGTTCTGACTCTGTCCTTAGTAATTTTTAAATGTCCTTACTTAGGGAAGTGCTGCAGTGGCTGGCTCACTCAGGCCCCTTTGGTTTATAATTTGATCACCTGAAATACCAAGGGTATCTTTAATAATAATGGCTGTCATGTATAGGTGGATATATATATATATGTGTGTGTGGGTGTGTGTGTGTGTGTGTGTGTGTGTGTGTATGCACACATGTGTAAGTACATATACAAGTGTGCACACATACATGTAGAGGCTAGGGATCTGCATGGCTCCATCTCCCCAGCACTGGGAGTCTAAGGATGACACCCTGCCCAATGTTTTTCTGTCTGGAACTTGGGTCCTCATGGCTTGCAACTCCATCCCCATCTTAGTGTCATAGGACAGCAGAGAAGGGTCACTTCCTCCTGTTTCACAGCCCAGAAGAAGTCATTCACCTGGGAACCCAATCAGATAAATTAACCTCTGTCTTCAGGATGGCTAGTTATTGTGACAATGGGGAAAGGCCCTCCACAGTGCCCTGGACTGGCCACTGAACTCGTAGCTTAGAAGTTGTGAATTTACACATGAGTGACAACTCATGTGGTTTTAACTAAAAAAAAAAAAAGTCGCATGTTCACCCCAAACTTCAAGGTACACAGAATATAATAGCTAGAACAATTGAACAAATAACAGAGCCTGCCCCCTGGAGGCAGCAAGGAGGGACAGGTGCAGGCTGCGACACAGACAGACTTGGGCTTGAATCCTTACCCTCAGATTCACTAGGTGAGTCGCCTTAAGCATGTCCCTTCTCTGCCACAAGCCTCAGTCATCACACCAAAATGATAAACTGTGGGAATTATCAGGTCACTGGGAAAGTAAGAAGCACTGTATCAGAACCATCCAAAGACAAGGGTGTCCTCAAGAAACAGTTAACACATGCTGTTAATTAATCCCATAACCTGGGGCAGGGTAGAGCTAGTGCCCCCGTGAAGAGTTCAAAAAGTTTCAAATGTCAGTGATGATCCAGAACTGATAACAACACTACTTTGAAACGAGAACACCACAGCCCTTTGCAAGTTTCTAAAGACATTCTGGTCCATTTTGATCCTCACTGCCAACCTCTGAGATGAAGTGAGCAGCTGTGCTAGCTATAACAATGCCTGGGGTGACCGGCATCTAAAGAGAACAGATTTGTTCCTGGATCAGCCCATGTTTAGCTGCCCCTGTGTTTTGAGCCTGTGGAGAGGTAGAGCATGGTAGCCAGAGGATATGGCTAGTAAGCCAAGAAGAAGTCAAGATCCCAAAACCCCTTTCAAGGACATGCCCTGACCCCCAGGGCCAAAGGATCCTGAACCAGCCTCTGTCTCTTGGGTGTCCATTGTGACTCACGGAAGTCAAGATCCCAAAACCCCTTTCAAGGACATGCCCTGACCCCCAGGGTCAAAGGATCCTCCAACAGCCTCTGTCTCTTAGGTGTCCATTGTGACTCACATCACAATGTGCCTGGCCTTCCTTTTGGTCTTAGGCTGGTGACACTGTTTTGCAAAGTTGTGGAATCTTTAAGAGAGGGAACCTCTCTGGAGAAAGAGGCTTGCTGGGGCCAGGGCTAGAGATTAACAGCCTGGCTCTACTTCCTCCCCACTCAGGGTTTCCTCACTGCAGGTGTATCCCAACCAGACGCCACACGCTCCTGCCACCAGTCCTTCCCCAATACAACGGACAGTGTTCCCTTGAACTCTAAGCCAAAATAAACCCTCCTTGCTTTAACCTGTTTATTTTTCGGTATTTGCTCCCAGAAATAAGAAAATTAAGTAATACCAGGTTCTGTCACCTGCCAGTCATATCATCCGGGGAACCAAGTTTTTGTCTAACATGCGGACCTTTGAGGGACACTCAAGACCCAAATTCTAGTCACAGCCACCACAGCCATCTTTGTATAGAAATATTTGGTAGCTGGATGCATTTTCCTTCCTATTCCAAAACACAGAAATTAATGTAAATGACATTTAAGGCAACAAGTAAATTCCAGTGACCATTTACTATGGTCCAGGCAGTGTTCTGAGATTGGAGTTGGAAAACTCCAGCCCACCAATCAGACCCAGCCTATCTGTTCATATTAATAAAGCTTTATTGAAACACAGCCCCACCTACTTATGCATTCATTGCTTGTTTCTGGTTCACAGAGGCTTCTCCTACTTGGAACAGAAACTACCTTACAAAAGTTCAAAATGTTTACTAGCTGAGTGTCTGCAGGGAATGTTTGGTGGTGCTGTCCCAAGCAGTGTTCATGTCTTCTAAGAATCATTTCAGTGTGAGGGTCCAGAAACTGGAGCCCCAACTAAATCCCACCATGTGGGAAGTAATAGCACTATTCCTTGAAATCCTTGAAGATGTCAAGTGATTTCTGTATGGGATTGTCGTTCAATAACACTATTTACCTTAAACATGTTCTTTTTTGCACATGTGTGCAAGCATGCATATCTGTATGTCTATATGCACACATATGTACATATTAATGCATCTGTGTACATGCATGTGTGTGCACATGTGTGTGTGTATGTATGTACGCAAGTTCGTGCACGTATGTGGTGGCCAGAGGTCCACTCTGGATGTCACTCTACCTTGGAGGTATAGACAGCTACTTGTTTTCTGAGAGAGACTCTCTGTTGGTCTGGAGCTCACCAAGTAGGCTGGGCTGGCAGGCCAGAGAATCCCAAGGATCCAACTGGCTCTATCTCCCCAGCACTGGGATTGCAAGTGTGTTCCCCCATGCCCAGTTTTTTATAGGAGTCTCTGGGATTCAGACTCCGGTAGGTCCTCCTGCATGTGCTGCAAGCACTTTACCGACTGAGCTGTCTCCCCAACCCATGAAACAGTTTATTAATCACCTCCAGTGAATAGGAAATGCTTTTGCCGGCAGATTTTACCTCTGCCTCCTCTGCCATTCCCGTGGAGGTACTCCAGCCACTGGAACCCTGTTTCACTCCTTGTGGGGACTCAGCTATGCCTCTCAAAAGCAGTCCCAACAGAACCTTTGCACTTCATTCACCAATATGGATCAGGCCCATCATAGAGCAAGCAGCCCAGAAGACACTCATGTGGCAAGCCCCATCACCCAGCATAGAGATGCACATCACTGAGTTCCCTCACAGAGCCACAGAGAATGGGCTATGCCAAGAGCCTGCTATTTCAGAGGCACAGACACATTTGTGTTTTCCATGGTGCCAGAATGTATTGACTAGCAGTAAAATTACAAGCCGAGTCAGTTTCATTTGCTGCAATTTGCCAAGCACTCCTGATTTTCCCTTAATAACTGGCTGTTAACTCTCAGATGACACATTATACACCTGACTCTGTGTGTGTGTGTGTGTGTGTGTGTGTGTGTGTTACAGATTACAGAATGACTATAAAAGTACAGAGAGGCCACAGCACAGTTCAAAGAGTCCTTACCAGAAACAGCAAGCTATTAGAGACACAAAAAGTTGCTGCATTAGTTGGATACGATATTAAGGACCCCTAGCTGGAGAGCTGAAGGCACAGGACTACAGAGACACAGGACCATGGAGGAGCAGTATAGGGCTGTTTTGGTCAAAGAGACAGACTGGCAGTAGTTTCAGGAGGCTGTATCAAACCGTGGAGACCAAGCTGAGCTGAAGTGCCAGACACTCTGCCTGGTGGTCCCATGACACACACATTGGGTGGTCAGGTGCCAGGGCAATGGGGCACCACCACTACAGTGATGGTGTCTTCTTTTTAGGGTCCAGGCGGTACTGGACCCTATAAATTGTTTGTGCCTCAGGGATGGCACCGGCAGGAGGTGGCTATCTACATGCACAGTGAGACTCACAGTCATCTTGTCTATTGTTTGAACCCAATGACACACACATTGGGTGGTCAGGTGCCAGGGCAATGGGGCACCACCACCACAGTGATGGTGTCTTCTTTTTAGGGTCCAGGTGGTACTGGACCCTATAAATTGTTTGTGCCTCATGGATGGCACTGGCAGGAGGTGGTTGTCTACATGCACAGTGAGACTCACAGTCATCTTGCCTATTGTTTGAACCCCCAGAGCAGCCAAACGCTGCCTTTCAAATGGAGTCACTCAGGGAAAGAAAGGCACAGCCCAAAGCCACTCTTTTACACAATATGAATTAACTTAGAGCATAGCACAGCCTGATCCCCCACAAGCTGTGCAGTCTACGAGCTGCAATGCCTCATGAACTCAAAAAACCACAGCCCTAAAAACAGTGGGCAAATACACATTTGTGCACTAAATATATGAGGTTTAAAAACATATTCCAAGTGAAGATGCTAGAACAATTCACTGTGTAAATCATGGCCTTTACCAGGCTTATAATGAGACAGGGTCTAGTGCCCTTACCCCTATTCTTGGTCAGGAAACTGAGGCAGGAAGAGGTGACCATCTTGCCCCTTGTCTCATAGTAACTGCATGGGCCAGGGTTCAAATCCTGTCTTCTTCTGTCACAAGGCTGTGACTTGGACTGCTGGGTTCTTCACCACAGGTGAAAGCCAGCAAGGAGGATGACTGTTTTCTAGCTAATAAGTTAGCATTCATTCCCTAGAGTGTTTTCCCAGGACAGCCACACCTAAGGTTTCCACGATCCCTGTTTATCTTGGCTACAATAGCATTACTCCTAGGATAGTCAGGGGGAGCAGGATGGGTTGCCCCCGGGTGATTACGCACAGACAGTCACCAGATGTAGGCCTAGAGTAAGGAAGGAAGGGAACTGTCCTGTCTGGCCCTTCTCTTTCTGTGAATAAAGTAAAACGGTACTTCAGCTAAGCTCCACCTTCCCAGGGCTGTGTGTGAGCAGTTTCTTACCCTTTCTGGGGAAAGGAGGATGTTTAAATACATGCTCCTCTCAAAGGATCCACTTGGGCTGGGAATATGGCTCAGCAGTAGTGAGCTTACTTCACCTGTAGGCTGGGTTCCATGCGCAGCAGTGGGGAAAAAAATAAAAAGTTCCTTCCATGTCATGTAGGAAAAATCAAGATCAGAGTCAAGAGTCAAAAAAGCCTAAGATTCAAGTCAAAAAAGTCCCCGCTTTCACCAAGAGCTTACTTCTCTTCTGGGAGTCTCTTCTCTTTTCCCAGATCTAGTTGGGATTTTGGGCTCTACTATCTCCAGGCCTCAGTAAGCAAGAGCGGGGAGGTGCGCCATTTATCAACCCACAGCCTTAAGCAAATGTGTAACCACCATTACTGCCTTGTTATCTCCTGAGCCTTCGTCCCCCAGGCTCTCTGAACACGATGTCCACACCTCCTGCCAGCAATGGTGTGTTTGTCGTCATCCCGCCCAGCAACGCCAGCGGCCTCCGCCCGCCTCCAGCCATTCTGCCCACCTCCATGTGCCAGCCTCCCAGGA